AAAAAAAAAAAAGCCATGATTTTTGGTATAGTAGCTAACACTTTAGATGATATCTGAGGTTTTTTGCGATAATTATGTATTTCTATATAAATTTTCAATGCCCTTTTCAAGACACATGGTTTTGTTATTATAGCATGGGAAAATCATTAAAATATGTTTATGATTGGGACACGTGGCGGACTCCCAGAGGTCAGCTACATGCAGAATGACGTGTGTCCCTGAAAGTTAGTTGAAGTGGCTTATCTTTTTGGGCTATGCGAAGATTTGTTTTATTTTTAGAAAGTTATAGTGATAGTGATTGGGCATGTTGCATAGATACTAGGAGCAGTATTAATGGTTATGCCTTCTTTATAGGTAACTCACTCGTATCTTGAAATCTTAAAAAAAAAAAAACAAACAACCATTAGTAGGTCTTCTCACGAAGCAGAATATAGGGCATTGGCATTCACTACTTGTGAAGCACAATAACTCCTATATTTGCTTAATGATTTGCATATTATTCATTCTTCTCATATCTTGCTTCTTTCAAATATAATAGCAATCTCTTTAACAAAGAATCCAATGCATCATGAGAGCATCAAACATATAAAAATAGACTGCCATTTGATAAGAGAAAAATTGTCCAAAAGTGTCATCAATCTCCAATTGTTCCCACAGCAGACCAAGTCGCAGATGTGTTAGCCAAATCACTTCATCCTTCACAAGTGTATTTCCAAAATGAACATTCTTACTATTCATGTTCCTCCTGCAGAAATATTAGAATGTATTTTATACTTTTACCCTTCGTAATAGTTTGTATTAAATAAATCATATTTTTCACTTTATACATTAACATTTCACACCCAGTATCAGGTTTAGTATAAATTGGCGATTTTTAGGGTTTGAAGCACAATGTTGATTTATCTTTCCTTTGTAGTTCACTGGCCGATACATCTCTCTCAAGAACATTCAAGCTTTCCTTCTCTTTGGTTCAATGATTTTTAGGGTTTGAAGCACAATGTTGATCTTTCCTTTGTAATTCACTGGTCTGTACATCTCTCTCAAGAACATTCAAGCTTTCCTTTTAAATACTTTTTCAATTCACAATGTATTTAAGCTCACCGACATTTGCGTTCTCAATTGTGTTTTCAAAACTGAATTCAATCGACTGGTCAGAGCGGTTAAAGTGGGAAGCGGTTCTATCCGCTCAATTGAACCGGTTACTAGTAAATTGGTCAAAACCGACAAAATACAAGTCAGTTGAATTGATATATATATATATATATCTATCTATATCTATATATATATAATAAGAATAGGATTAAATCACTCCTAGAAAGAATTTCCTGTGAGAAACATTAAATACATACTATAAATAGTAATAAAAATAACACAACATCAAAGGAGTCTTCAAATTTAAATTGATAAGTCAAGGGTATGAACAAATCTCAGTGCATACAAAACTCCTTCTTTACAATAACTTTTTTAGAAATAGTTTGTATTCAATTTTTTTGGTAGCAGAAAGTGACGTTTGGATAATTATCAGTATAATAATTCGGAGTATCTCAATATTCATTTAATATATGCTATATAAAATTCACCATGATAAAATTTTAACAATTTTTCAACACTAATATAGAAAATTTTAGATTGATAAATCAGTCGTATGTGTGGACTTGCTAAGCGTACAAAACCTTCATTTGTTATAAAAAAAAACATGAGCTTTTTCATTGCTAATGTCTAATGTCTAGTTGCTAATGTTTATTAGACTTTAATACATATTATTTACACATACAATATTTTAGATAATAATTTTTAGGATGTAGTATATATTATTCATGCACATCATATTTTAGATACTTTTAAACATGTTGTATAGAATATTTTATTTTTTTTCACACATTTGGATCTATATCAAAATATATACATAGGTCAAAATTAAGTGTTTTACACATATTTTCCTTAGTAGAAAAATTTTAGGTGGTTCACTTTTCAAAAATAATATAGATTATTTTAGATATTTTTACATGTGTTATATAATATTTTAGATGTTTTTAAAATTTTAAACATACATATTTTATGTTCTTTCTATACAATGTAATTTTATATTTTTTACAACAAAATATATACATGAATTACATCGCACACCTGGCAGTGGTGGGGAGTCTCCCAACAAGGGTTTTCTGCATCCACAAGGACTCGAACTCGAGACCTTGCTTAAGGGACATCAAGCTGCTTATCACTTGAGCCAACCCCTGTTGGTAATAATAACGCATATTTTAATAAAGTACTTATCAATTGGTTTAAATAATTAAATATTTTAAAATATCTAAATATTTAATTAACAATAATTTGATTACTAATTTACTAAATATTCCTCTGTTTGTGTGTATGTTAACATGTGCATGTCCACCCCATATTGTGTTCTCTTTCTCTTCCACACACAACAAAAAGTTTGTTAAGAGGAGGAGAAGCTTATTGAATGATCACACACGAAGAT